AAAGAATAATAAAAATAAAAAAAACTTACATAAAAACAATAACAAAAAAAATAAAAAAAAATTAAAAATAAGTTTTAATATCTTTTATTATTGCTGCGGAAATCACCTTATTACATAATTATAATTGATTTTAATTAATTAAACTTGTATCTGTCTGTAAAAACCTCACGTGGAAAATCGGTCAATATGATATGTGCAATGTCAATTACAGTATGATTCATATAATATTGGACAGTTCCTCCTATTACTTTCTATATACTTCTTTTTTGTTTATTTGTAGTAGTTTTATTTTTTTTAAAAAGTACTTTAAATTGTATAAATAATGTAAAATTAAATTGATTTAAACTGCCAATCATACGAATACATCCAAACAGGTTATGTCGATCCATGTAATATGATATGCAGTATAAGAATTGTCAAATTATGTAACACGCATTACATACTCATTTGAGTGATATTTGAAAGTGATCATCCAGATTTATACACGATGTACCAATCAGATCTATAATGTGATAAGAAAGATTTTAAAATAACAAACAATCATTCTTTCTAGAAAAAAAATCAGTTCTATCCTATCCAAAAACTCAAAAAACAGGTTGGTGATAAGTTGGTAATGAGTTGGCAATGAGTTGGTAATGAGTTGTTTGCCGATATAGTCATAGGTAGGTGTTAAACCAACACCCACACACGCTCAATAGTTATTGTTTATAGTTATGTATATTTTTATTTATATATAACGTTCTAACTCTTACATTTATATAAAATTTTTGTTTTGTTTAGCTTCGTTTAAACTGAGTGCTTTGAATAAACAATTCTTGAATTTTTCTTTTTTTTTTTTAAAAAAAAAAAACCTTTCTCAAATAAACAAAAAAAAAAAGTCCGAATTACCTTTAAAAGAAATGCAAGATTCTAGTTCCACTCATTATCCTCTTCAAGAGGTTTGCTAGCAGGATAATATACAAACCAATATTTTAAAAATTACTGATGATTATCCAAACATATATATAACTTGACATACTGGAAATAAAAAACAACAATTTCTTTACAAAATTTTATATTTTGGTTTTTATCCACAACAAGTAAAGTGAACTCAACGAGGTGGTCATCTAATTTCTAATGGGTATATGGTTAGCATAAAGGTTTATAGTATATATCTAATTGCTGAAACTTAGTATAATTCGAATGGAGAGGTTATATATACAATTACTTGTGATAGTTATGATGGAAAAAAACAGTCCGTCTCAAGCAATAAATCGGCTAGTAATGTTTCAGCTTTATTTTTGCAGGTTGTAATTAATTAATAAAATACTATAAATAAATTAATTAATAAATTGTTGTAGTATGTATATTACATACTTACATAAATAATGTATTTTATAAAATAGAAGTTAAAAAAAATAGTAATTCACAATTTTCTGGGGTTATACTTTTTGGGCTCGATCTAAAATGTTTAGAAGAACGTTGAAATCCAGTTCAAACTTTTTTTAAAGCTCAATTACAAAAAAAACCATTTCATGAACTTCAATTTGAGTCACAAAAAAATAAATGTCTCAAAACCTTGGCTTGTGATATTTGTGATAGGATCGAGTCTGCAGTTCAATTACATAACTTCCATGATACTGTATTGAAATCTATAGAATTAAATGTAAATGATTTACCTATTATTCTGAATCTGAAAAATTTTAATCAAATCAATTGTTAGATTCAATTGTTTGCACTTGCAATAAGTTGTTGATTTCTCATGACGTATATCATCTGCTTGCAGCTACTATACCTTATATGGTGCATGAATATAAAGTTGAAACCTATTGACAAAAAATAACAAAAATCATGGATAATAAAATTCCAATTCACATGGTTCAAGTTAATTCTGTAACTTCAAATGGAGCTTATAGATCACTTAAAGATATTTTGTTTATTTTAATTCCTAAATTAGCATATGGAAAATCATCAGTTTTACAATTAGGAGATATTATTCATATTAAATTAAGTGGAGATGGGTGACAAGTTGGCAAATACCACAATCATGTAATGCTAACTGCATGTATATTAAATGAGTATGATATGGTTTTAAACCCATTTAATCAACATTATATTTTTCTTTATAATGGTATAGAACAACATGAATCTCTTCAAATAGCTTTTAGTTTTTTAATTAGAAAATTAACAACTTTAAATATAGAAGGAATTATTAACTCAAACAATAATCATTGGAAAATCGAATTTTGGTTTGGCTCTGATTGAAAATTCATGTCTTTAATTCTTGGTACCAAAGGACCAACAGCAAATTATTTTTGTTTATATTGCGATTGCAAAAGCACAGACCGTTGGGATATGAACAAAGATTATGAAAATTTATATAATACTCAGGAACGAAAAAATTCAAATCTTTTACCTTTTTTAGAACAACAACATTCTATACCAGACAAATTACATATAATGCTTCACATTACTGATGTTTTATTTGAATGGTTTTTTTAAAAATTATCAATTAAATCAATATTTAATAAAAAACAAAAAAATAATGAAATGACAATTCGGCAACAAATAGAATCAACTATTTATTTTCTGGGTATCAATATTTTTAAGTTTAGTAAACCTGAAACACCAAAAGAAAAATAGCATTGGATGTCATTAATAGGTCCAGATAAATTAATAATTTTAGAAAAATTTTCCGTAACTACATTTATTTTAGGTCAACGTAGAAATGAAATACAAAAACTCTGGCATAATTTTTTTTTTTATATATAAAACAATGCATAAAATTGATTTAACAAATGAAGATATTGTTAATTTTGAATTTTCAGCATAGCAATGGATTAAAAAATTTTGTTAACCAACAATCGAAAACAAAGAAAGAAAAATTCTACAAGAAAAACTCTATCAATGTGATAATGTTACTCCCTATATGCATGTACTTGTATGTCATATTCCAATATTCATGAAATTTCTTAAAACAAAAAATTTATATCTACAATAGTTTTCATGTTCAGGTGTAGAAAAAAAGAACCACGATTACATTCAATTATTTTATAGAGGTACTACGATGGGTGGCGGCAATTCTTTAAAATCAGCAGCTTATGAAATGTGTTCTTATGAAAATAGACAACTTTATTATTATATAAATGAAACATCTCTATCTTATACTAAAATAATTATGAATCTTAAACAAAAATAATAATAAAGTCTAAATTACGACTACATTACGCTTATATATTTCGAATATAAACTTTAAAAACCCATATGTCCAAGTATAAATCTCCCCACTATATTCTTCCTTAGTTGTTCACTCTTTTCAAAGAAAGACAAACTCAGTTTCAATCATTTGTTGCGTTTCAAAATCTTTTTTTTTAGTTATTACTCTAACCTCCTTCCTGTCTTTGTTTTTTTTTCACCCAAGCAGGATGTGCAAAAATATATCTAATTCTTTGGTACCTGTCTTGTCTTTTATATGTGTATTTATACTTTCGATAGGCCACCTGGTATTCAAATCCTGGCTCTTGGTGAAATATGTAATAAAAAAGGTTTTCAGGACAGTACACAGTGAATTGTTTGAAGCCTTGAGCTAAGCGGTGAGTATGAAGATGAGATTTTATATTTGCAAGAAAGATTAAATGGAATTGACACAGGCACCAACTTGAAGGAAGTTCAAAACAAGAACTGTGAGGCACAATACGGTTGTGTAGATACTTTCTTGCTTCATGAGATAGTAAAGAATTTTTTGTCAAATAGGTTTTAGAGCACAAAAAATATAAAAAAGGTTTGGACAAAGATATTACATATAATCATCAGATTAGTATAACCACGCAGATATTATATTTTTATATCACACCAAATGAGTCCGATCAGCCCATATGCATAGCTTCTAAGCACTATCTTTGAATTAATTAACGTCAAAAGAATTTCTTTTAAATTGCCTAAACTAGAAACAAATATAAATCTGATTTGGAAAATTCCAATACTACAGAAAGTTATATATACATACCTCCTTAAAAACAAGCAGATCAAAAATCATTACTTAAATAAAAACACAATAGAAATATCAATGTTTGCATTTTTTACCATAAAGATAGTTAATATAAGGAAGACACTAAACAAAGATAAGACTATCAATCCCTAATATTTTGATTTATATATAATGTTTGTTTGGGGACTTTGCATATTGTTTTATTATTTTAGGCATTATGTAATTAATCATAAGGACTATAATTTCGGAACCAGAAATTAAAAAATATCACTACATAAAATATTGATTATGTTTTTAAAAAATTAGTTTATATTGAACGAAAAAATATAATCGATCTATAAATTTAAAAATTAAGTCAATTACTAAAGTTAGTTTTAAAAGTTCAATATTCTTATCAGTGATCAGAGAATTTAATTTTGAACAGATTTTAAAATTAATAAAATTTTGATAAGTTGTCAATAAAATTTTGTTTGGTTAAAAAATTATGATTAATAAATACATTTTTTCTAATTTTATAACATTCTTCTCGTTCTGTTTTAGAAAATTACGGACACTATAATGAATAATTTTTACGTTATTCATAATTTTCAATTTAACTTTCCTATTTTTTTTTTTTAGATTAATTTAATTTTTGAAAAAATTTTATTTATGTAGAAATTTTTAAAATTTTCTATGCAACTTAATTAAGTTTTAAGGTTATAATTTTTTATACAGAGAAAAATTTATTTAATGACAATTTCTTGATTAGAGATATGACCTAGATATTCGCTATTTTTATAACAAAATATTGCTTTCTATAGGGTTAGCCAATTTAAAATAATATTTTGCAGTATCTTCATCTTTTTTATATCCAAACCCCTTTTGATGGCAGCACTCTAAGTAATGATATGCTGCCTCATAAATAAATAGAAACTGGCTTTTCTGAAATTCACAAAGCACTTTATAAACATTATTCAGATCTTGATTTTTTTTGAAAGCATCTTTAGCAGCTTCAAAAAAGATTTTTTCAATATTATAAACATCTATTTCAAAGCTATTTGGCATTTTAATAACCTTACAAAGATCATTAAGTGGTTTTTTTTTAAGTTCTTTTTCCAAAAATGACAGTAGACGACTAATATCATTTAATATTTTGTCTATTAGTTTGTATTTGAATTGAATATAGATTTTTTTTCTGAATTTTTATATTAATGGAACAATGCTATAAAATAGAATGAAATATTATTTTATGCAAGTAGTTTTTGTAGCACATGGAATGCATGCAATTATTATGGCAAAATCAATTCAAATTTTAATTAAATTCTTATAAGAAATATTACAATAAACTAAAGTCAAATTTAACCTATGGTTATAATAAATCAATTAATTAATTTTAATTGCAAACTTCAAAATATCGTAATTGTGCAAAACTGACTAAAACAAACAGTTTTGGTTTGCTCGATATCGTCATTATTAGTCTTCTACTATCACTTTTTTTTTTGAATTATTTCTTTTTATTTATATGGAGTATAAAATCATAACATGAACAGAATTATTTTATTTATTATCTATTCTAAATTCTATATAAAACCTATAATTAAATTCTGCAATTAACACTAATTCAGATAAAATAAAATCATGTAAATTGACAAATAGCGATATATGGGTTTTTTAGATGATTTTTTTTTATGTGATTATTTTCTTAAATTTGTCAAATTCCTAATAAAATCAATATAAATCTTGAAAGAAATAAACAAAAATTGATGATTGATTGTTTCTTTTCCTCTTTTCATCTAACAAATTGATGGATAGATAGTTTAATTATTTATATTATTTATTTATTTTATTTGCTTAAGTTTTAATTTACAGAACAATTCAATTAATAAAGGCATGTAACTGATAAGTTTTAATCAAAATTATTGAAAAGTTATTTAATTTAGTAATATTAATTAGACGTAAACAACCAAAAATTTTGTAGTGAATTAAGTACTATTCAGAGCAGAATTTAAGAAAGATAAAATTAAAAAATTTTTACCACTTTTGTGGGGTCGTAGAAGTCTACTTGTATGCTAAATTAAGCGAGGCATATTCGATTATGATTATGATTAATAAAGCACGCCAATTCGCATTATAAAAAAAAAAAAAAAGCAAACCGAAAAAAGCAAAATGAAAAAATAAAACAGAGGTGAGGTACAGTCATGTTAATTGACAGTCTATGCAAATCTGCTTCGCTTTAGTCATCCCTCTAAAAAGGAAATCTTGCGAAGTGCTTAGAGTGATTTGGTTAACAATCGCTAGTTTGGTAGATCAATGTATTCTAAATTAGATTATATTTCATGAGTTTAGGATATATGTAATCTAAAATTTACTAGTAATATAGGTTCACGGGGTATTTGTAACCTCTGGTTTGGTAGGCGGGTTATCTTATATACATACAAAAAAAAATATCGAAATTACTAAGCTATATAATTTTATCTATTTATATTATAACTATAAACTATACGAAGTAATGGTTTATTACAAGGCAATGCTATATTAGTTAATATTATTTATGACTTTAATTTATAGAATAAATATTAGCAATTTTGTAATTCTACTTGACTAAATTATTTATGAATTGAAATTTAATTGCACTATATCGATATAGTATATTTCGGGAAATAATTAAATTCATTATTGTATAAAAATTTTAAAAGAATATACAAATAAAAAATCCAAAAATTTGCTTTAATTGTTAAAATTCAATTTTTGGTTTAATTAATAAACATGAAATCCCAAACATCAAAAGGTAAGTTATGCATTTAACTTTGATGAATTGAAATATAATTTTGAATAGCAACAGTTTTTTAGATTTCTCATGAGTATTAAATTCAATTGTATAATAAGAAAAATAAATATTATCATTATTAATTCAAAATAAACAATACAATTTTTGATTGGCTAATCACTAAGTACGCACTTGTTATCGTTTCTAAGGGTGTGCACTTAGGGAGGTATTACTGTATTATGAATTTTGTATAGCTTACAATGTTAATGGAAAAACCAATTTACATAGTGCTAAGTCACAAGTAAACAGCATAATAAGGCTTTGATTGAAGCAATGACTCTTCATATTTATTTACATTGCTAAAAAACTTAGCCCATTAATTAAAATAATAGTATTATATGTAGCTGTACATTAGCATTCTGGATTGACTATTTCTATTTTCACATTATTGCTATTACAAAAATGCTTTTATTTTGGATATATTATTCTTGTTTTTGATTGGCTAATTAGACACCTCTCTAACTGCACTTAGAGAGGTATTACTATATTATGAATTTTGTATAGCTTACAGTGTTAATGGAAAAAACAATTTAAATAGTGCTAAGTCACAAGTAAACAGCATGGTAAGACTTTGATTGAAGCAATGGCTTTTCATATTATTTATACTGCTGAAATACTTAGTCCATTAATTAAAATAATAGTATTATTTGTAGCTCTATATTAACATTCTTGATTGACTATTTCTTAGACAAATAAAAGTTATAAAAGATTTTTCTGACTGATATTGTCTTTGTTTTAGAAGCAATTTTTTTTGAATCTATTAATTCTTAAGCATTTTAAAATGATCTCAAGAATCTTGGTAGCCTTGATATTAGCTCTGACAACTATTGTTTCTATAGCAAATGCAAGGCCTCAATATTTCAGTGATAAAAGTAAACATTTTTTTTAAATATAAAATCATTTTCCATTTTAAACTAATATTACAATTATAACCATCATTTTACAATTTCTCTTAATGTATTTTCTAATATCTTCGATGAAACCTATTAACTAATGTAGGATTTATACCTGGTTTGAACAAAAGTAAACATTTTTTTAAATATGAAATCATTCTCCATTTTAAACTAATATTATCATTATAACTATCATTTTATAATTTCTCTTAATGTATTTTCTAACGTCTTCGATGAAACCTATAAACTAATGTAGGATTTCTACCTAGTTGGGAAAAAAGTAAACATTTTTTAAATATAAAATCATTCTCTATTTTAAACTAATATTACCATTATAACTATCATTTTACAATTTTCCTTAATGTATTTTCTAATATCTTCGATGAAACCTATAAACTAATATAGGATTTTTACCTGATTAGAAAAGTAACTGTTAACTAGTTTTTATATCAATAATTAATCCTTAGATATTTTCTTAAAATTAATCTAAATTTTGCAAATTCTATAAATCATTAGGAAAAGGGTATCGAGTCTAATATGTTAGATTTATAATCTTTACAATATATTTACAATATTTCTAATAATATTGTATACTAACTTTATTTAAAACTTAGTTGATCTCCATAAATATAATTTTGTTTATTATTTTTTAAAATAATTTCTGTGATTAAATGATATTATCTAATTACATGTTTTCTAACCATTAAATAGTAAATATAAACTAATTTATAAATTGAAAACTTTATAATAATTTTTATTAAATAATGGTTTTATTAAATCACACCACTGGTATTAATACCAGTTCCTTAGCTTGGATAATCTATTTTTGGACGGAAGTGTTAGCAACCTGGCTTATGATAAAAGTATGTTAAGATAACTTACCTTAAGTTACAAATATAAATTATTAATGCTGGCCAAAATTACAATAAAGCCAGCTAGCATTAAAACAAAAAATTTTTAATAAAACTACCACCAGATCAGTAATTGTACCAAATCCAGTTACAAATTGATAAAAATATAAATTCATAAACATTGTGCAGAATTAGAGTTAATTTAGGCAAAATTTAAATAAATTTGAGCAGAATTAAAGATTTAAGGTTTAATTTGGTAGGAATTCGAATATAAATTAGAGTAAAATTTTGGCAGAATTAATGTTTAATTTGGGTAGAATTTGAATATAAATTTGGGTAAAATTAGAGTATAAATTTGAACAGAATTAGAACCTCTTGGGTTCTAGACGTGATTAAAAATTTAAAATTTCATTTAAATATTTAAAAAAAAAATATTCTCTGATTTTCATATAGACCATAGTACCCATGGAATAAGTTTATATAAATTTTTTTACTAGAGAGATTGTAAATAAAATTGTAATTTTCTAAAAAATTTACTAAAACTAAAAACAGCTGATCAATAAAATCAAAAAAAAGTTAGACAAATACTATAAAAGCATTATGATCCTATTCTTTGGATAAACAAGTTGCTTTTTTACATTTTAGGGGTGGGGCAGGGGTTGGTCAAATAACTTTCTTAAGATATTCAATTAACTGAATAGATCTCTCTTGAGAAGAATTCCTTTCTATTTCTTGTATTATTTTTAAAATTACTAAATAATTTTCTTTCATAATTTTCTAAAATGAACAAATTGTGTAAATATTTTAAATATTTTGAAGTATAAAAATTGTGCATCATTACAAACCTTTATAATTAAATAGATCTCGATTATTGATCCTATATCATAGTTTTCAAAAGAGGTAGGAATAATCCCTTCACGTGCCAACCAAGAAAATCGAAGTTTTTTTGAATTAAAATATAATAATATAAGCTGTATCTGTCTATCTAAAAATAACAAATATTTAATATAGAAATTTAATATTGGATCACATAAGATTAGTTCACATAAGTCTAAAAACATCTTACCAAAAACAAATAACCCAACCCATCTCATTTTAATAAAAAGAAGGTTTAATTTAGAAGTAATAATTTTAGTAGTTTTTAAAAAAAATTTAATAAAATCATTGATGGCATCATTTAAAGCTCGAATAAGCTTATTAAAGACTCCGCAATTTGATGCATTCGGTAATTTTACTTCACACATCAAGAGATATAATGAGTGTTTTTTGTATGTATAAGTGATCGCAGTATCAACCTTTCGAGGATAAACACGTATATCATCATAGTAGGATTCAGAATTTTCAATTGGCTAAAGATAATTTGTTTTATTCTCTTTATTTATAATTTCATCAGAAATAATATTTTCTTCTGTAATCTCAATATCATTAAAATATTTCTGGGCTTGATTAAAATAGATGAAGATAATCCAAATGGTAGCTGATGATGCCACCTTTTTCGTTCGACAATATACTTTGCAAGATGTTCAGGACTAATTGTTTATTAAATTTATTTGTTTTAAATAATTTTAAAAAGGTTTGTGTAATAAATTCCAGGTAAATTATCTTACCTATAAAGATAAAAGTGTTGCAATAGGCCATCTAAAACAGCATCAAGAGGATAATAAACATATTTATAAACATAACGTGATTCAAGGTTGAATGCAGGTGGGTTGATCAATTCAAGTAGCCCGTATAACAAAGAGAAAATAATGAGGTTAAAATACAAAATTAAAAAAAATAAATATAACAATATAAAACTTACCATGACTTCATAATTTGTTTACAATAATCTTGGTGTAAATCTTCTAAATTAGAATTTAATTCTATTTGAGGTGAAGGTTCAAAATTTGGATTATACTTTTCAAATGCTAAATCTATAGTGTTATTGATATCATCATATTGTTCTGTTGAAAATTTAAATAAGTTGTTATTTTCAATACGTAAAATGGTATTCTTTTGATAAATAGACTGCCAAATTTCACTGTTGAAATTTACTATGAAACAATAAAATAGATCGGTTATAGGAGTTCTAGAAGTTTTTCCTTTATTTTACCAAGATCTTAATAAAAAATAACAGTATTAATAAAATACTAGAATTTAAAGAACTTACTGGAAAGTTCATATATAATTCGATAATTTTTTCTTTTTTTTGAATTTCTGCTCGCAGAAGAATTTCTCTAATCTGAGCTTCTGAAATATTTTTCAGATAATTTATGGTAGTTATTAGTTGTTTTTTATCAATACACGAATAAATAGTGGTCTGCACATTTGATAGAATATCTATATTGTTATTTTTTAGATAAAAAAAAATTTAAAATTCTGTAACATTGTTATTTTTTTAATCATATTTAATCTCAAAAGATAAATTGTAATCTGGGATTGTGATTGAAATCTTACCAGTATTTGGTTTTGTAATATTAGCCCAAAACTGAAGAATCAAGTAGTCTCTATTTTCTATTTGTTTCTATTAATTCATAAGAGTTATAAATATTAGTAATATGGTAATAAAAATTTTAATTAAAGTACTTTGCCAAAACTTCTCATATATAATGCAATCAGCTAAAATCTATGATATAATTAGGAAAATATTTTGCATATTATAGAAATTTTAAAGAGTATTGGATGATATATTGCAAATATCCAAATTCTTCTTAGAACATAAAACAACAAATTTTATAGAAAATTATTACAAGGATCCAATTAAAATATACAAGATATTAGATAATATATTGCAAACAACTAAATCTTGGCTATTTAGCAAACTAGTTTTAGCGTTGAGTTATGCAGTGGAAATTATATTGTTCCTTATAGTGTTGAATTACTAGCTTATGCAAAAAAAATCATGGATATTATACTATTTTTAATATAAAATCTAGACTTAAATGACCATACCTGAAATATTTCTAAAGCTTCTTCTAATTGCTTGATCGTAAGCTTTTTATTCCACTTCTTATCATCTGAAAAAATTTAAAGTTGTTTACATATCTTCTTATTTTAGCTTGAATAATCAATATATACCTGATATTAATTCTTTCAGTTTATTACTATAAAGTTGGTACATTAAAAGTTTATCTTTGTACTCTAATTTCAACCCTTTTTTGGCAAGTTTAATCTTGCAAAGTTTAAAAACTTAATTAAAGAAATTTCATTGAGCTTCTTCACTTCTTGATTAAAAAAATTCTTGATAAAGTCCTGAACTGCTTCTTTATTTAACATTTTTATATACTATAATAGGAAAAAGTTGGAACTAAATTTTTTTTTTTTATGAAATCAAAACAAAATACAGATCAAACAGATCAGTGATCGTTATGTGATCTTTACGTACTCAAAAGGGAGCAATTAATGAATTCTGATTTTGACCCAAATTAAATTTAATTTGGGCCGAAAACAACTGACAGGTCATCTATCTATTATTAGATATCTTGGTGGCGATGCTTATTATTAACCAAGAAGACTTAAAAATGGTGTAAGTAAGCCTAATCAATTAAAACAATGTGATAACAATAAATGTAACATAATATATTTTAAAGTACCCAACACTGTTAAAAAAAAAACTAGCCTAAATCATCGCAAAGTTTATATAAACTTATAACAAAGCTTAAAAATATATAAACATGATATCTCACCTATTAGACTCTAACTAATTATTATGCAAAACGTAAATGATGATCTAACTCCAAAGTATATAGTTCAATCATTACCTAACGCTAATTATTATTGTGAAGTTATACAAAGAAAAAGCATAACAATAATGTTTAAAGGTTACATCATCTTTTTGTAACACCAACCCCGGCAAATAAAAATTAATGAGCTACATACCCTTAAATAAACTTCTCACCCTATTTGTAGATCTACATGAGTTTTCTTACTCTAAATTTTTAATAATGAAAGTGTGTGTTTATTTTCTTTTTATGAGATAGAAGACTAATTTCAGAAATAAATATAAGATATATCGGGTGCAAAATTCAAAAAAAATTTTTGAATATTTTGAAATTTTTTTACCAGTAAAATGAAGCATACCAATAATTCTTCTATTACTTCTTTTCTAAAGAAAACGTATTCGAAATTAAAGTTTTCAAATTGGTTAAAAATAAAATAAAGATTGACTGCCAAAGAGTGAGGTGAGAATTATATTACTAAGTGATCATTTAGTCGTTATGCATCTAAAGTTACGCTACCACTAGGATGATATGATAGGCAGAGAACTGGAAGCGCATCATGGCCACAGGGATGTTACAAGAGCCAAGTAATAATTGCTTGTGAACGTCTTTCTTTGTTTTATCTGTTATCTGAATAGTGAATAGAATGCATGGATAAATGACTATATTGGCTCCAGTACATGTTTCTTGATGATGATGACAATTACTTACAGTTTTTTTTTTTTTTTATAGCTTAACAAGAGGTGATGGTGGTATGGATATGTTCGGCAATTATAATCATTACTTATTATTGTTTCAATGCAAAGATCTTACTAACAAAGTTGAAGTTGATTATATCTGAAATTTTGAAAGTGTTATATCAAGATTCGATAAGCAAACAACGATCGGAATTTATGTTACATTAGAAAAGATGGTTATTCGAGCGATGCTATAGGAAGAGCCAAATCATCTGAATACCATTTATTATTGACGAACATACATGATCTGTGTCAAGACATTCCTGAATACTTGTCTAAAGTATTAAAGATAATTCTGCTAATGAAAAGATTTATAGGATAGAAAAAAAGGTAGATGAAATAATTGAGATACTCAAACATCAAGAGAAGTCTATAAATAAAATTAACAATGATAGAATCAAAATTGAAAATAAGCAAATTAAGTTGAAAAAAAAACAAATTAG